CTATCCTCATCATTATCCTCCCATGTCCTCATGCTTATCCTCCTGATAAGCAATGGTGGTTATACTGAATTTCAGGATTATAGTGATGCTACAAGTTTCTGCCCGCAGAATGAAGAATTCAGGTGATTTCATCCAGAGGTGGAGAAACTATTTAATAATAACAATGTTATTGCTTATATAAGCAATATTTACATGTATTTTTTTTTGTTTCTACTCAGCAAGCATATCATTGATTACAGTAAAATGTTTTGTTTACCAATACATTTATAAGCATTGATTCAACCCGAATCCCCTTTTAAAAATAAATATTTGCCTGTTCAACAACCCCAAAATATAGCCATGAAGTAGAATTAGTTTTCCACCTATCGGAGGTTGAATCAACCATGTTTTACTAGAAAAGAAATCTAAAACATTAGATGTGAATGCACCTGAGATTTTAAACACTGAACAGAAATTGCATATAATTATGCTGCAATAGAAAACAAATTTGTCCCATGCTTAATAGTGGTGTAAATCAAATTAAAAATCATGACAAAATGATTTAGTCTAATTGATTAAAAAAAAATGTTCAGAATTTTGAAGATGTCAGCAGTTTTATTATTTCTTTAATGTGTGCAGCATTTTAACAGAAACCAAGCAGAACAAACGGATCATAAATGCAGTAGAGTATTTTAGGTGTTCTACAAGGTTAATGATAAGTGCACTGTAGCTGAAATGCAACTGTAAGTAGCCTTTATTGTGTCATAATAATGAATCAGAAGAGTAAAGATAAAAGAATAAGTTAATTTAGAAGCCAGTGAATAAAACACATGAAATGCTCATATGAACTGTACTATTGAGACAGATTCAATAATATCTTATGATGTCATCCTGTTGAAAAATATCTGCCTTCAGGTCACTGCTCTGTGTTTTAAAGCCTTAAATGATTTTGCCACAGAACATTAAGTATCTCTACACTTTATACGATATGTCTTACCAGCAGAGGATAGATCTCTCATACAAAGCTGTGTCAAGTGTCTGAAAGGTTTTATCTATCCATGACAGAGCTAGAGTTTCAGTTTAAGGCAGACTAGATAAAGTTTGCTTGCATAAAGCTAACACTTCAGCTACAAATGATTTAAAAATGCGATTTTCTCTTATTTAAACCTATTTGAAAAAATTGAAAAGTGTACCACATCCAAGAAAAAAGTACTCTTACAGTTTCCACATTTGCTAATTTCTGAAGCCATTAACATTCTTATAATCTCATTCAATTTCTTATTGAAACCACTTATTGCACATTCTGCAACCGTAAAAATCAAGAGACTTTAATTTATGCAGGTGGGTAGCTGCGTCAGCATGCGTAGGCTACAAAGGAACAAGAAAGAGGTTTATTCTATGTTTTGTTTTCTTCTCTTTTCAGCATGAAATAAACCTATTACTTGTTCCTTTGTAGCCTACGTATGCTGATGCTGACGCACCTGAACTACTTCAACCAACTTCTGCTACGACTCACCATGTCTTCCTCTAAATCTTTTTCTAGATCTCTTCGTCGTTCCTTCTCTTCCTTCCTGTGCCACTTGCCCCCTCTCTTACTAAACCAGCATTCCGTCTCTTCACAGCAATCTGTTCCAAGACCAGGCTTTCAAGACACCTCTTATTCCTTTACAGATGATTGTCATTATAATATAATTCCTGAAGGATTTCACCTGAAATTTAACACTTTTTCTTTTGACCCTGACACCACACAGAGTAACGCTCATAGACTTTAATTTATGTTACAGTACTTCAGAATGTACCTGACAATATTGAATCCATCACCATGCAAAAAAGGTAGATTTATATCAGAGTGATGTTCAACAAAATGAATGTTTGTTTCAATAACTATCAGGGTATTCAAATCATACATTTATGTATGTGATTAAAAACCAAGGTTTTTGAGGTGGTAAAAGAGTAATTGTGCACTTATACTCTCCTTTCTAAAAATACAAGCCAGCTGTCCACAATTCTATATACATCTGTTCCAGCTCATCTCTCTCCATCCCAACTGCACCCTTGCAGCAGCCTGTGCTATAAACATCTAAACTATAAATATACAGAAATGGGAAATACTGAGCTTTGAAAAACACTCAAGGAATTTATATAGTAGAGGAGCTCTAGATAGCAAGTTGGATGTTATCCTGTTGTTTGTTTACTATTGTAATTTTTACCCATACTGTATAAAACATTTTTTCTTTTCTATATTTTCTCCCCAATCCTAGATAATTGGGATTCTTGTTTTTCTTTCCTGGTCTGAGTAATAGATTATGATAACAAAACAAGAAAGGGAAGGAATAAAAATACAGTCAAATGTGTAAGGATATATATACTGATGAAAAAAAAACGCAATATTTTCTGGAATGAGAATACTATAGTTATACTGTAGCTTATGTACTTTCACACAAAGTTGTCAATTCGTTTTAAGCCCTCTGACCAGCAATACAGCTTGTGCAGTGAGGCACTGCAACTTACCAATCACACGAAAGCTCGTTAGGTGCACTTTTACCCAACGAGGTCCAGGTGGAACAAATGCCTGATCAGGTCACCTTAATTCAAAACTTAGGTCACTGCAAGAAAAAGGCCTCACTTAGTCAGTTTTCTGTGCATTCCACAATGCCTCGAATGTCACCAGAAGTAAGGTAGAGGGTATTGGCATACTGCAGGCATGTTGCCAGAAACTATGGAGTAAGCCGCTACACTGTCTCCCGACTGCAGAGAAGTTTTCAGCAGACCAGCAGGACAGATGATTGTCCTAGATCAGGTTTCCCTCAAGTGACCACAGCAGAGCAGGACCAACACATCTGACTGGTCCATCTGAGAGATCGTTTCAGATCTGCCACCCGTTCTGCTACTGAAACTGCCGGCAGACACAATGCCCACATCAGTTACAGGACAGTGAGGCTCCATGGTGTTGGCCTTAGAGCAAGGCGACCTGTCAGATGCCCTCTTCTCACACCTCCTAGATGTCACACCCAACTGGCTTGGGCCAGACAGAGGCTGCGATTGACTCATCAGCAGTGGCATCAGGTCCTCTTCAGGGATGAGTCACTCTTCAGCCTGTTCCACGCAGACGGGAGGGCCAGTGTGTGGAGGAGGAGGTGTTGCGTTTCTTTTTTCCATCATTATAGTTATAATCAGAGAATTTAAATCAATGGATGATATGGTATAGCAATATTGTATAATACACTGGTAGAAATGTACTTTGAACAATATTGGTCACCATGACATAAAAAAGATATTGCTGCACTGAAATCAGATGAGAGATGAGCGATCATGTAAATTCATGTGCTAAAAGGAAAATTCTACTTTGACTTTAAATCATTTTGTTGGGCTGTGAGTAGACACTATTCAAGTATTCAATATCCTCAAATATACCAACAAACGCAACATCTATGTCCCTTCCAGAAAAGAGGAACACAAACTAAAGGACACAAACCGAAAACAGTGGGAGGTTTACTGTATTTGAACTTGAGAACAGAAGACATTTCCTTTGAGTGGGTGAATGGAACATGTTACCAAGCCAAGATGTTGAAGCTACTATATTATTATTATTAATGGCATTAACCAACATTATGACAGGAACACCTTGGTGAACCTCCAGGACAGGCTATCGACTCTCTAACCAAATTAATGAAGTCAAAGGCCCGAAGTGCTTAAAAGCTTTCTGCCTCAATCATTAAAAATGTATTATTATTCTTGCTTATATTTCTGGTCTTATATGTTTTGCTTAATATCAAGTTTCTCCTCTTTGCTTGTTACCTTTCATATATTACATCTGTTATCTTATGTATCAGTGTAGTGCTCATCCTCAGTCTTTGTTTTCTGCATTTTTTCACACAGGCTCAATACTTCTGTTATATCAGTGTTATATTATCAATAAATTATCACTTTTTCATTTAGATTTGAGTTTATTAGTTAATACGCCATCCATGTAGTTGCTGAAGAACAATCAAAGGTTTATTTCAGACTGAGATGAAAAAAACTAAAAACTGGCCTTTTTCAGGTGTGACACAGTTTTTTCAGCATGGAATTAACCTCTACATTTCTTTGCAACCCAAACTTTACAAGTGTGTTTTAGATGTTTTTAGACCTTTGTTTTGCTCCTAATCTTTTAGATATGTGTTTTATGATATTTTTTTACTTTGGAAGTATACTTTTGTCTCTGTTTGTGGTCAGTAACAATAAGATGGGAATTATGACATATCATATACTGTATGTCTGACATGGGCATATCTATAATCATATACATAGATATCATATATATAATCATATAATCATAGATCTATAATATCTATAATGTTTGATCAGCCTCTAGAAGGGAGAATATTTGGTTGCATGTCTGTCTACAATTTATTCTAAAGTATCCACTTGTCATTTCTTCTAAGTGAAAAAGTTTATTGCTCGTATTTACAGTTCTTTTCTAGAGTTCAGTGAATAATTAAAATTTTGTTTAACATAAACTTTTTTTTTTACAAATAACAGAATAAACATAAGAAACAACTAGAGTCAAAAGAAAAATACTGAGGTATCAATGCAAAATGAACTTAGGCAAAGCTAAGAAAAGGTTTAAAAATGAAGGGTGAAATAATCTCTTTAGACCAGGTAATATTCTAAAACTGCACACCCCGATATTTTCTGATTTTTATTCCAAAAGAGCTCCTAGTTAAAATACAATTACAATTAATACTTTGCTTCATTGGCTCCTTTTAATTATTTTTCACTGTTAAACCAGGGTTCACAAATTTCTTCTAAAATGTCAGCTTGAAGTCGACAACTTCTTAAGGACCTGAAAACAATTTAAAAACTATGTCTGTAATCTAATAGTGCATTTAATTATGAAGTTAAACAACTGAGGATTCCAGATGGAATGAAAAGCAAGCAAAGTTCTTCTGACAGATTTCCTAGTGCTTCCTCACAAAGAATAACAAGACCTGGCACTCAAAAGCATCAGTAACTAAGGAAAATAACAGATCACAGAAAGATTCGTCAAAACTGGAAGCTTGTTTAATATTGCTCTACCATCGTCCTGAAAGGCATAATTGGAGTTACACATCTGAACTGATCATAGTTACAGAATCATAGGTCTCTCTTTTTGCATTGAACAATATATACAATGTAAAATAAATACATTTACACAAATGGACATATTGTTGGAGCACACTTTATGATACACATCACAAAAATATACAGTTAATCGTTTTACAGATGTGAAGCACATCTAGAACTACAGACATGGTTCTCACTACAGGTTGTTTCAGCAACTCCTGGATTTTTTTTTATTTCAAGCTTTTAAAACATTTTTCAATTTTGCATGTAAGACTGCCATAAATCATTTAATTAATAGGCAGGTATACACTGATGCATAAATAATTTAAATACAACCACCGACACCCATAATCTCTTCTATAAGAAAAATAGCAGTTGTTTGTACATTTTTATATTTTTATTCCTATCATTTAAATGCAAAATAGTCCAATAAATACAGCATTTTGATCTAATTCAAACACAAGTGCAACTTCTGTGTGTTGCACAGTCATATTGCTTTAAATAAGAAAAAAAATAAAAAATAATTAAAGTTGGTATGGCTAAATAACACACTTTTCCTATATTAAATATCCTTGAAAGGTATTAAAGACACAGCAAAACATTCTCAGTAGGATTTAAGCTGAAACTGATAGTGCTGGAAGCCAGCTGTTATTTAATTTTTAATCTGATTTGCTTATGAACATTTCTTATACCTAATAGTGGTAAACTATAACTGACATCAACATGCAATAGTTGAAGTTTAATCATATGTATCACCTCAAGGATACAATACTACTGTTTTTGGGACACACAAAGTAATCAAGTTTGATTAAATACCTCTGGAAGCCTGAAAGTAACCTCATTAACTGCCTTTAACTGACACCAGTTCAGCTTAATTTCCCAGTAAGAGACTGTTTCTAGAATCTTTCATACCATTTATGTCCTGTATATATCAGTGGTATAATGAAACAAAACACAAATCCCAAAAGGAAAACAGCACCTTACTCCCAGGAGTTGTGTGTGTATTTAAATGGAAGTGCCAACGTCTGAGTTTATCACAGCTATAAACTTCAAGTTATTGACCATCTCATGAGTTCTATGAATGATTATTAAGTCTAGAATCACAGTACGGTCACCTCTCTACAGAGAAACCACAATCTATAATATAGTTTTGTATAGCTAATGATAGATACACAGTATTTATAGAACAAGACTAAAAAAAAAAAGAAAAAAAACTTCAACATCTTTTTGTTTTTAATTCACACAAAGTTAAAGCGGTAGGTTTGGAAACTGGTGCTTACACCATTTTTTACTTTTATTTTTTTCATTTTTTTGCAACAACAGAGCAAAGTTAATATAACAACAACTGAGATGATCAGAATGGAAGGCAGTATTTACAGCATTTCTTTTAAAAAGTTTACATTAGCTAATGTTCTGAAGTACTCAAATTCTTCATTTGTTTAATAACCTAAGATATACATTATTATTCTACAAGAAACTGTTACACAAATGTATCCCTTTTTCATTTTTTGTCTTTTAAATAATTATTATTGATTTATATGTCAATAGATTGAGTTATTTATTTTGGATCTGTTTGATCTAGAAGTTACTAGGAAGAGCCTTAAAACCAGTAAGGTATAGTACACTACTGAAGTCTCCTGAGGAATGGTACATCCAATATTGTCTCTAATTCTACCCTGTGTCTATAAAAGCATACAACACGAGAACTCTTAAACACCACAAGAAGAACAAGACAACCTTTGAATGCAAAGAAAAAGAGGGACAAAAAAAAGAAAAATGAGGTTTAGAAAAGCACAGCAAACGTGGAACATTGAAAAGCTGAACTACAATATTTCTTTTTTTTTTGTCGAAATAAATGTTCTTAGGTAAGGTTTATAATCTTTAATTTACAATATGTGCACAATTATTCAGAACGGTTTGAAAGTTAAGGGAACCTTTACTAATACTGATATATTGATCCCGGTAGGTGAGATTATTCTTTAATGATTATTGAGCTTTTCAACTGTTTTTAGTTTAGTTTTGGGGATAGAATCTGCCTATTTTTTTTTATTAGATTACACCCTGTAACAGTCTTGATCCTGAATGGTTCCTAGTTTTAAATAAGAAAAAAAACTAGGATCATGACAGCTTTGAAAAATTCAGTGTAGTATATTTGGTTAGCAGCCTTGTCATTTCTTTGAATCTGTCATTCACTTTATTGCCATTAATGGTATTCATGTTATGTTTTTTGAAGACAGCCAAGAAGTAGTCTGTCAGATATATTATTGGTAAGTATCCATTGTCATCAGTTAGATTCGACTTTAGAGTCATTGGATATCATCAGTATGCTATAGGTGTAATCTAACAGTGGACTGCAATCACAGAAAGAAGATCTTGAGCATGTATTAAGGGGAAAAAATAGCTTCCTCAGCTAAGACTGGCACACAACATAAATTGCATACATGTTAATATGCACCTTCCCTTTTTTAATAACTATTGCTTGAAGAAGGTAAAAGTTCACACAATAAAATGGCTGAAAGTGGTAAAGCTGGTACAAAAAAATCTAAATTAATTATCAACAAAATATCATTAAAAAATCTTTCTTAAAAGTTTTATTATATATTTATATATATTGACCTTCATTATCGATCCTCATTGCTTAATCCACACCAATAGAAACAACAACAACAAAAAAATAAATCAATAACAAATTATCTATAAAAAATGCAGTACGTTGTGTTTTCATATTGCATGAGTGACTAAAGCTTCAACTATTCCCTGAAAAGGTTACAATAAAATCACAAAAAACTAAGAATCATTTGGAAGACTTTAACAAAAACAATTAAGGAATCAAATGGCTGTAACTGATCTAGATGGAAAATGCAATGATAAGAAGCAGTAGCTCCAAACCTTCTCTCAGCCACCTAATTAACAGACTGCTCCTATGAAACCTAATACTGTATTCAGTCAATGCACCATGTTGGACTGTACTGCAAGGAGAAATTGTTCACTTTGATTCCTTTTGTTACAGGGGACATTACACATAATCTGAAGTTCACTGGCATCCATTGAATGGATTTCCTTCCTTTGGCAGGGCTTGGCTTCCTCCTCTCTTCAGTTAGAGAATTCTTTATGAAAAAAAGGTTTGACAGCACAAAACTGCATTAGAAAGTCAGAAGAAAGAGTTGAAAGCTGGTTCACAGTCTTACTGCTAAATAATCAGTGCAGTCTTTTTGAGTAATTATTATGAATTATTATTATAGTAAGTATTATTGTTGTTTATATCATCATTATTATTATTCTTTAAACTTAAAACACAAGGTCCCTCGTGCTCTTTCCTCGTCTCTGTCGGTTTCCCCTTTTCTTGAGCTGCGGCACAGGCCTAGCCCGCACTCCTGTGCGTGGAAAGCGGGGGAGAGCCATCGAGGTCAAAGAGTCAGACCTTGGCCTCCAGCAGTTCCAGAAAGAGTTTGTGCATGGGCACCTTGCCGTCCTGTTTGATGCTGTAGAAATGCTGCACTGCCTTGGTGGAGGTCTGACGTAGGAGGGGAAGAGTCATAAGGAGCTTGCCAGCCCGGCGAGGATCTTCAGCGTGTTGACCGGCCTCATAATCCTGAAGGGCTTCATGCAAGACATCCTGGAGCTTCTGGACAGCCTCCACATCTTCTATGTGCATTGAGTCTGAAACAAACCAATAAAAACAAAACAAAACAGAGAAGTCAGCGCCTTCTGTTTCTTCCATGGAAGGACAGGCAGCAAATCTTTTCAGATTCAGATTCCTTCAAAATGTTGATCTGTTGGATCTGTTGTAAGCTTAAATTCTGATTTTATGATTAACCTTGTGAAGGTTAAATATATGCTGGGTCCACACTGGTTTTATACAAGATCAAAGTCTGGTGTCCTCAGCCACTGTGTAAGCCATATCCCCTTATAAAATGATGAAATTAAATGATTTCACATATCACAAAAATATTAACATAATATTTATCTTAATGTAAATAACATAATGAACTTGATGTAAATATAGCACAACCTTTACAATGTATTGAACAGTATTGTTAAATGTGAGCTTGTGTTGATAAAACTAAGACAAGAGAAACCATGTATCGTAATTAACTACAGATTTGCCCTACATTTTAAAAACTGGTATTCCCTGTCCTACTCAGCTGCAAGCAATTATGGAGTCTCATTCAATTACTGAGGAAAGTTTTTTTTTTACTTTTTCCAGTATACTTCCATTTTAAAAAGTGATTTATTTACATTAACTCTTTACACTTTACACAGTATATTTCTGTGCCAGTTAAATTGCAGGAAAAGTAAGTCATGTGGCTACAGACAGCTCACATCAGCCCTAAAGTCCTGAGTGTTTCATTTCACTCTTGGAGTGAATCCAATGTGACATTTATATATTGGGGCAAAAACCTATATAGACCATGTTTCAGGACATGCACAATGGGACAAGAGAAAAACAAAGAATGGCAACAGTTGGAAATAAACAAATTAGTTAGTTAATGTTATTTTAAACATTTAAATATGATATTGCTGGTGGTGTTTGAAAAACAGAAACATATACAATACATGGCATCTACAACTCAGGGGATTGATACAAATTAAACTGGTTAAAATAGGTAAACTCCAGTGACGACCAACTTATGTGACTCAAACTAGAATTTCTTTTTAAATCATAGGCCAAAAAGCTACCAATCAAACCTTTTACAAAATATGCAATTCATTGGGACCCTTTACTAACTGTAGCCTACATTTTGGTCCTGACTGAATGAAACACTTCTAAAAACAAAGGATATCTTTAGTGTGAATGTGCACATCAAGAATCATATTGAACAAAAGCAATCAGATTGCTTATTGTGTTACCCAGTAGAAATTGGTTGTAATTAGAGGTGCAGTATACATACTGGATACAGTGGACACAATGTTAAGAAACATAAAAATCATGCATTTGCATTTCAATCATTAACAAGGTGCATTTAGGAAAATTGGTAACAGGCATGCTTTGAGTTTATTTTCAAGCTTCAAAACATTATTTTCATAAACCAAAAAACTTCAGTAACACACAGGTTTGCTGTTTTAATGTATTTTTTCTAGAGAACACCACACTTTTCCTTTTACCAGTAACACTATACAGGCCAATACAAAACACTCACTACAATCCAGAGTGAAGTCCTGTAAATGCTGCTTAGTTATAGGGACAAGCCTTATTATATGTTTGTCACTGTAGAATTATTAGCATAAATTATAAGTGCTTGCAGATATTACATATCACTTCAACACATAGTCTGTCAATGAAAAGCATAAAGCATCTAAAATGTACGTAAGAGTTTTGCTAATTTAGAATTGTACTAGCCATATATCGTAGAAAACGCTGGAATTAAAACTACAGCTGCTGAAAGTGGAAAAGAGGAAATGTAGGTGAAATAAAGGTGTACAGTATATTACAATATTTTCAGAGAAATTTTATTTTGGGAAAATGATCAATTAACTAAAAAGTACAAAAAAATTAAAATAAAAAATGATGACGTTCCCCAGATGCTACCTCTGTACTATGATAATGGTGGTGGAGGGGAGTCCCCATTACCTGTAAAGCGCTTTGAGTGGAGTGTCCAGAAAAGTGTAAGCAATTATTATTATTATTATTATTATTATTATTATTATTATTAATATCATATAAAGTGTTTCGGTAATAGGAAGGACATACAACTGGTGTTGCTTGCATGTTTAATGACAGATGTTTTTAAATCATGTATATTTCTGTTTCACTAAGTATTTTCAAATAAATGATTACCATATTCTGAAAATCGCACTGATGGTTTAAAATCTCAGTAACAGAAACAGTTAACATCATGTCGCACATAATGATTACTTTAAGGACAGAATGATGTCAAAAAGAATGAGAAAACCTCCTAATTTTTGTTTATTGGACTGAATATTATAATAATTTGTTTAATCTGATACTGCTTATTCAGTGGCTCTACAGTTACAGTAGAGAATTAGATTGTTACAGGAACTAAGCATATTTTTGTGTATGCAAGTCAGATTTAGATATACTAGGGAAAGTGGATATTTAAGTCGTTTCATGGCAGTGTAACAAAAAAACAAAAGTGGTGACTAATTACTCCAAAATATATGTCTAATTGCAATCTGTTTAAACCATTGGGTTAATTTTATTGATAACAAAGATTTTTTTAGCAAAGCACAGACATAGCAGCACCCCTGTTTTTTCCCAGGTTTATTTTATCCAAATGCCAAGGAAAGCATGCAATATATTGCATGCAGCAATGAAAATTTAGCATATAATGCATCAGATACTGTAGCAAGCATGCAATGGATGTTCTGGAAAGAAGAAGACTCCACAGAACAACTGGAGCGAAGCCTGGCATTCAGAAAAGATATATGCCTCTATAAGAACCATACAAGCACAGCTTGTACACAAGCACATACAGTATAGCACCTTACCTACTGTACCACAATGTTTTTATGCACATCTATAAATCCATAAATATTAATGAAGAAAATCTAACAGCTAATACTGAAGCAAATAAATTATGAAAAATGCAAAATCTTGCAGCTTGTAATAGGAAGAATTTAATAAGAAGAAAATTAAATTTAATAATTAGAAGTATAAAACAAAAAGTTCAAATCTTCAGTGTCCCTCAAAAGACAGATCTCAGCTCAAAATAATAAAAACAAGATTCACGAACAAAATGCATTCTAATTATAACAGCTTCCCCAACATTTATGTAAGTTTATACATGTCATATTTTGTGGATGTGAGGGTCTGGGTTTATTTACTTATTAATGCGGCCATCTCAATAAAAATCCTACCGAATCTTTCTGATATGCATTACATGTGAAGCACGCTTTCCCATGTTTCTTGAGGTTTACTGTCATTAATGCAAAGGATTAGTACCAAGGGAATTAATTAATGATACTGCCCTTCAAAATGCTAATGTTTTTGTTGTTGTTGTGAGTGGTGTCTCTGTGCCTACATCCTTGTCATTGTTTTATTCATGACTTAAATAACAAAAAATAGGTTTGTATCCCTCCCTCTGCAGTGCTGCAGAATTTCCTATCTCTTTCCTATCTCTGCATGACGTGTCTGAATAAAGCTTCCTCTCAAACCACTCTAAGGTTTCTCAGTGGCAAACCTTTGAACTCACACATTGCGCGATTCAGAATGACTACTGAGAAAAACTGCCAAAATGGGCCCTAAAGAAACGAAAAGTCTGTGACATGATAGAACAAACAAACCCCGGAGGGAGTCACAAAAAAATTGTGAAATAAGATGACAGGATAGAAGAAATCTATAGAGCTGTTTGTATTGCAAAATCGGAAGCACTACTTCATACTTTGTGTCCTATTTCACTGCATAGACCTCTTTGTTTTGATGTTGTGACGCTACTCTGACGTTAAATGTTGCAGACATAAAACATTAAAACATAAATATGTTTTTATTGAACAGATTCATGTTGTATCATATTAGTCTTTTCACAGGCCAGCTGGTTCTTGAATGGGATCTCTTAATTACATATACATAAAATAGGTCTGTACGAATGTGGAACTTATAAATACATCCATCCTTTTTATAACCACTTTATCCAATACAGGGCTGCAGGAGAGCTGGAGCCTATCCCAGCAAGCAATGGGCGCTAGGCAGGATACATCCTCGATGGGACACATAGACTCAAACTGACAAATATGCACACACTCACACCGGAGTCAATTTGCGCAGAAACCAATTAACCTACCAGTATGTCTTTGGACTGTGGGTGGACAGCAGAGGAAACCCATGCAAACACGGAGAAACATACAAACTCCTCAGATATAGCACCCCAGGCATCATAAATATATCTGAATATTAATATCAATTAGTTAAATGAAAAACCTAATTGCAATACATAATAACGAGTGTTCCTGTTATCCTTAGCTTTATCATTCTGAAGGTTATTTAATGAAATAAATATGGAAATGAGTAAAGTGGGTAAAAACAGAACTAGAGCACATGCAGTAAAGCACCTAAAAAACTACTGTATACAGTATTAGCTTATACTGTATATGTAATTCCAAGATGTCTGTGAACTAACCAAAACTGTACACTATATAACAACACTTACTGGGAGATAAAGTGAGTCTTCCTTTATTGTATTGAATACAAATAAAAATAACTTTTAAAAAACCTTTTCTGGATATAAAAACTGTCCCTTGGACAATGATTTGGAGTTATACTAAAAGCTTCAGTTATGAAAAACTTCTGTCCATGCTCTGTTTTTTTAAAACAGTTCATAAGTTCAAGATTTCATTGAAGGCTTCATATGACACATACTGTATACTTGAAATGACCAGCCTCAGAAATACTGAATGTTCTCAATGTTTTAGAAAAAGCCAATGTTAAATCAATGCTATTATTAAGATATAAAGCAATTATGTAGAATAAGCAAAGCATTTCTTGAAAACAGCCACTGTAAACAACTATAACCTAATAACCAAATCCAACAGGCAGCTGATTAGCATACACATATTACAATGACAAAACGCTGAGGAACTGTAATGAAAAATAAAGAAAGCACTGCAATGTGTTCACAGTTACATCTGTAGTAAAAGCAGCACATGCTTTCAGTTGAAAATAATAAGAAAGTGCAACATTTATTGTTCAAAACAATTTCCCTCCCATCAGTCTGGGAATGCGCACATCAATATAAGAGATGAACTGTTAATTACAAAATCAATTAAAAAAGAATTTCTCAAAAGAGTCACGCGCTCTGGCTCTCGGGGGTGCAGTATGGGCAGAAGGGCTCATCTCAGCCGGGCTGGCCAAATAGGGAGCTGTCATCCGCAAGCAAGCAAAAGCAATCTGGTTTTTCATTTTTCAGCGTGGCTGAGCCCAGCCTGAGATTGATCGTCACATATGGCCCCAGAAAACAAACTGTCAATACCTTGAACGCTGTAGAATTTGAACAAATAGCCGCCCGCCCATTCAAGCCGCTCATTGCGTCCCATTTAACAGATTTTATTGACAGTTTCCTTCTTGTAATTAAAGGGAAAACTACTGGCCAGCAACCAAGATAAAGTTCAAAGATAGGGTCAAAACAAAAGGAGATGGAGGGCCTCGGTGTGACTGTCAATGGTATACAACATCAGAGCCTGTTATTGACATCCAGGTGCCTAATGATCGGCACCTTATTAAAGAGGGATCTAAGGTGAACATTATGCAAATGCTAAAAGGGACCACAATAAAGCTTTTGATAGATGCAAAGAAGAAGGGAGTGAGGGAAAGGGGGCATGGGAGGGCACAAATCATTCTACTGATCATTTTGTTCTCTACTGTTTCAGCACTTTAGACTCAAATGGGGAAGAAAAGTTCTTTCAGAGAATATTTAACTCCTTCTGTGCTGGCATACTATTTGAGAGCGTATTCTTTTTACACCAATAGCATATAATGTATAATGTCTTAAAGTCACAGATGCTGTATTTTTCACAAAATCAAGTAAAGAAATACTTTCTGAATACAATTAGAACTTCTGATTCTGCAGAACCACTTTTTGTCTTGCAAAGTTGTTGCTGACATAAGAAAGAAAAGTAATTCAAAATGGGCCAATTGTGAAAGTAACAAAAAACAGATCAAATCTGGTTATATTTTAAATCCGGTGCTATTTAAAAGATAAAAGCTTCTCTTCAGTTTCATTAATTGGCCTTCACTCAAAGGGTTAGTGTGTGTTTTTTTTTGTGCTCTCAGGAGAAGCCAACACAGGAAAAGTTTCTCAAAAAACAGAGAAGATGGCATGAAAAAAATGTGCCAACAGTCACGCAAATCTGCCAACCTGAATTAGCAAGCGCTATAGCTTTGAGGGTGACAAACTCTTCCTTCTCCAGCTTCATGCTCTTGTATTTCTTTACCAGCTGCAGGATGGCATTGTTGAGGTCGAGAAGGCCGGCCAGTTTGGACTGGTCTTCATCCATGATGTAGTCTTCAGCATAGACCAGCTTGTCCTCAAAGGACAGGGAGCGGTACACCACACGCAGAATGAGAATCTCCATCCAGGCGCTCTGCAGAAGGCTCATCTGGTCTGCCAAGGACAGAGTGGAGAAGCCTGCCCACAGACACAGAGGAAACAGGAATTGTAGTTACACTGAGGACCAACATTTTTCTTTATTTAACCAGACAGATACTGTACATCAGCCTAGAACAGATTCCCTCAGACAATTATGGCCAGGCAAAGAGGTTAAAAACATTTTGTCTCTGATCAAAAATGCATAGCTTTCATTTTTTTACAAAGGTGGTAGGGATTGAAACACCACTGTTGATCGCAACATACAACACCAAAGGATAGCCAAATTTATAATTGCTTGTGGCATTTCCCGTCGAAATAGCTTTAATTTTAAAATGTAATAAGGAAATACATGCTTTATAATATATTTGCAAGCCTTACTCACATACTGTATATTATGTAACTGTGATGTACAATTGCATTTTTAAATTAAAAATATAATAACCTTCACATTATATAAGAGGACTTTATGTATTAGATAATGATGATGATAATAATAATACAAGCTTATGTATGAGGGCTTTTCAGGAAAGCACTGGCACTCATATATATTTAGAAATGTATGTCCATATATGACATGTTTATTTGTGCTGTTACTTCCTGCGAAGTTTCATTCAAAGGCTTTTTGAGCATGTGTACCAAACTCAATTCCAGCACACACTATAAGCTTTCTAATCAATGGTTATGTCTATACATGATAGCTTCTTGCCCACTGACGTCCTGTTCAGCTGGGTATTAACCAATTCTTTGAAGGCACCAAAGGGATGTTCGCCATGATTTGGGCATTGAAATTCTGATGCCATTATCTATAGCAAAGCTGCAGTTGTGATGGTGCAGCTGCTTTTCAAGTGTTTCTAGGGGCAGTAGTCTCCTCCAGAATTTGAAGCCAGGAGGCTTCTTCTACTAGGGAATTCCTTATCTTCCCCAGCACACGTCTGGAATCAATTCTAAGCATCACACGAGCTGAAAGACTAATTGCCAGTGTGGATTCTGTTTTTTATTTCCAAAGAAGATGTTTTTGGAAAAAACAGCATACTCAAGATCCATAATTTACAGTTTTATTATACTGAGCTAAAGTAAGAGTGAGAAGGCAAGGAGATAGACTGTTTTTTTTAAAGGGGGGATTAAAATGATATCTTATAAGAGTAAAGTCTAAATTCATTTAAGCATTTTTAATAGAGTATCATATAGTCCTGAAAATATTCAAAACCCTAAATATTTTTTGATGTAGTTATTTAGAAATGTAATTAATTAAAACGAATGATTTTTATTATGCAGACAATTTATAGATCATAGAATGTAACTAAAAAGTGCTTTTGAAGTCTTAAGTGATGACGTTGATTTGTGTGATTTTACTAGGCAGTGAAACATTAAAATTACATTAATGAAAAAAAAACACTGGCTGTGTTCATTAGGTTTCTTAGTAAAGCATTGCTGCTTTTAGTTGAAGAATGATGTTCCTCATTGAGGCATTTGTTAGTTATATGTACTGTATAGCAATTTTATCTAAGCTTCCTGGCACATTAAACTTGTTAGTGAATGGCAGTCCTTACCACAGACAAGGAATTTTAGATGATGACAGTAACACATAATCCCAGCATTGAGGGAATAAGGAGATATTTAGCAACATCTGTTGAGAAGCCCATCTGAGGGAGGCTGCACTGCTGAAACAGTTCATTTTTATCTCTTTCTGACTTGATCACTAATGGCAAGCTGCTCATTATGTATACGTTTCAGGCTATTGTTTATAACAACTGCTAATTTATTATCCCAAACTGTTAACATCTCTGATCTCATTAGGAGCAGTTGAACAGTGCTGAGCAGTTGGTAATTTTTCTGGCCTGCTGGTAAAACTCAACAGAGTGCCAGTTGGCAGAGCCCACCACTAGTACTTAATAAAATCATCAAAAGGGATTAGTCAAGAATTTCTTAAGGGGGTCTTTAAAACAAGACTGTTACATTTTTGTAAGGATATCTGCAAAGTTAATGGGCAGCACTAAAAATAAGATTTTTTCTCACACTTCATCACAATCAAAAGGGACTGGTCTGATTGAGTTTGAAAGGAAGATGTGAGGTAAGATATGAGTATCTTTAAAGAAGGAAGGAAGACCCTATGGAATTGCAAAAAGGGATTTACAAAAAATATGATTCTGTTTGTTAGTGTTTTTTTTCCACAGGATTGTGATCGAGATATACAAAAGTTCTGGCATGGCAGAAATGCCATATTGTTATCACTGCAATTGAAGACAGGAAGTGCAATTGTTTTATTACTGTATGAAAAAATGAAGGGATATGGAAGTCTAGATAGCTCTAGTAATCTTTTTTACACTGAAGAAATTAGGGGCTTTAAGATGAGAATGGTGAATGAAAAAAGAAGAAACACAAAGGAAGGAGAGAAAAGGTACATTCAATAGAAAATGTGAAAGAAACAAAGGCAATAGGGGGAAGAATGGAGAAAAGAAGTGAGAGAGGCAGTCTCTCAGGAGCGCCAGATGGACGGAGTATATAGCCTGCAGCACCTTCCTGTGACAGGCCTATTCTCCCCTCCTAGACACCGCTGTTAGTAAATAATTAGATTTACACATTCCCCAATCTCCACACATCTTTCCACCGAATAATTAAAAGCAGGATGATTAGTTTATTGAGTGGAAGGAGGAACTTTTTTTTATTGAGGTCCATCAATGATTTTATCAGGGCCAGTGCTTTTACGGTTGTCATGCGAGTGCAGGCATCCAATTTTTCTTATCTGCCTGATTAATACAAACGCTGTTTCAGGACGCATTAATTAACAGATACAAATCTACGTTCTCATGGAGGGATCGATACGGAGAAGAAAGGAGGCATCAATGCGAATTTAGTGCTGATGATGGAGAAGGTACTCTATTGACATTTACGTGCATGGAAACTTTAAAGTTGCATTACAGCCTTTTTTTGTCTGTGTTATTTCCTTACAAAAAATCTAAACTATCTTGACCTTAATTACATTTCACATCTCCTGAATGTGCAGTTAAAGTGATCTAAAGAATCAAATCATATCAGATGGCCTGGCAATAAGGTCTATCTTTATTTAAAACTGCACAGAATTAATTAATGTTTCAATGCAGCCTCCCATTAAAAAATAGATTTGGCAATTATTATGTAGATGCCTGTATATGATGCACATTATAATGTACATTTGGACTATTAAATGCAGCTGTTTCAGAATGATTAAACCAAACAATCATGAATATCACATAACTTCACTGCCACTTAAACCACTGTTGTTTTCTGCCTTTTTTTCTAGCCACCCTAATACCAACAAGACTTACTCATACAGATGATACACAAGTATTATCTGATCCTGTCTGCCAGCTCTGCTACCCCCCATTTAACTCTTTTAGCCAGGAGACAGCCTGAAAGGCAGCATAAATTCAGTACAGCCCCTGCGCTCTGCTCATCCACATGCCTGTAGTTGATGCAATCGCCATGGGCACTTGTCAAGTACCTCCTGCCTTTTTTCCCCCTTTTTTTAATCAACCAATGCACTTTGCAGTCAACTTACAAAAAAGGCTAAGCATTTGAAAGTGTGAAGGGCACGCTCAAAAAATATATCTGACGGCTAGTCTTCAAAAATACACTTTCATTTCAGAAAGAATAAATGTTTGTCTCTGGTGCTGAATGCTGACAGAAAGAGGCTGCGGTGCAGCCATGCGATATTAACCCCTACTGGGCAGTCCTGTTCAGTATGAAGTGCTTCTAGCTCTGTGCCATCATTCCTCTGTCTCCTGCCCAACCTGTTATAAATTTATTTTGACTACACATTTACTTCACTGGGCCAGGCCCTCAGGAGCCAGTGCCTCAGGATGCCTTTACCTTAGCGCACTAGTTGTTAAGACTCTTGGTCTGGTGTGTTTTCTGTGGTGGAGCGATGGTTATCCTACTACTACAGGTCTTAAGTAGTATTCTGTTTTTTCTTTACATCAAGTAGGATGATAACTTTGAAAAAACTAAAATGTATAATTATAGATGGTAAAAGAAGTTTTACAGCAAATGAACTGGATAAACAGTTTCCCCAAAGCAGAAAATCACACTCTTTACCTTTGGTTTACTTGGTTTACACATACGCACATAAAATAAAAATAAGCCATGCTTCACTTATACTATATTTAATTTCTAAAATATTTATGTGATCTACTACTAACAATAACTACAGAAAATATGACACAACATAAGATCTGAGGCTTTAAAGCTCTGACCCTTTAAATCAGCTGACATGGTTTTAGAATGAATTATGGTAGTCCCATTAATATCACGCAATCACATTCGAAACTTGCTGCAAGTGATCGCAGGATATCCCTGTGATCAGCTATGCATTCGCTCCATCTCCTTTTGCCGAGCAATGTTGTGCACTGCAGATGAAAAACCAAGACAAGCTGAATGGTGGCTCCAGTTTGGCCCAATACTCAATACTAAATCTAGTCAAAAAAGAGAAAAGTGAATATAATTTGAATTCCTCAAATTAGTATACAGTGCATTATTATTAATATCAATCCATCTAGGTTCTTTATCCAATACAGGACTGTGAGGGAGACGGAGACTGTTCCAACGAGCAACAGTCGCAAAAATTCACACCAGGGCCAATTTTCTCAGAAGCCAATTAACCTACCAGCATGTCTTTCAAATGTGGGAGGAAAAACAGAGCACTTAGAGGAAACCAACGCAAAACACAAGGATACCATGCAGACTCCACACAGTAAGCACCCCAGGTCCGGAATTGAACCCAAGACCCCAGCACTGCAAGGCACCAATGCCACTACACAACTCTTTAATCCATTTAGTATAATTTTAATTCCCTGACAAATTCAAAGATAGTAATTCAGGTGGGTAGCTGCGTCAGCATGCGTAGGCAGCAAAGAAACAAGTAATAGGTTTATTCCATGCTGGAAAGAGAAGAAAGAAAACATGTTTCGGCCGTGGAGCCTTCTTCAGGTGTGAGGGAGACACACCTGAAGAAGGCTCCACGGCCGAAACGTTGTGTTTTCTTTCTTCTCTTTTAAGCATGG